GGGAATGAGACTATCAATATTGATATCTACTTTAAACATTGAGCTTGTAGTAAGCGCCCTTTGCCAAACGTTACATATTCTTTCTTTGGTTTAGAAGTGACTTATGCTCGAGTCAAGCGCGTTCGATGTGTTCCACTTTGTCACCTCCGGTACTCCTTTAAATTTAGTTTAATAAGCTTAGGTTAATTTAGCTTACTTCCTGTCAAACTAAACGATTTCCGCGTTATAGGCCAAAATGGCTTTCAGAAGAAATGTTGAAGAAGACAAAGTAGTTCAAATACTTAGAGATTTAGCCAAATTACCAGCTAACAGACAATGTTTTGATTGTAACCAAAGAGGACCGACATATGTAAATGTAACAATAGGGTCATTTGTTTGCACTTTATGCTGCGGAATATTGTGAGTTTAATTGGTGACATTGCATTAAAAAAATGACGTGTAATAATCTGATAAAGATCACGATAATCTATTTTTATAAAACCCAGATGACATATATGGGCCTAATAGATAGTTATTAAAAACTAATATAAACCAAAGACAGTTTAATCGATACATCAACCAGTGAATACATTTCTTCTTTTATAAATATTATTTAAATAAAAGCTATTGAAACTTTAAAATTAAATTTAGATATCATTTTACAAAACTAGCCTTTAGGCCTATGTGTTACAGTTTATACACAGCCTGAAAGTGAAAAGTTGATGAGTGACTGCAGTGACATCCAGAATATTTATGAAAAATAAATTTTGCAATAGACGGCTTAAATTTAGAATGAATGTCATTAATACTAAAAGTACTGATGTTTTATTCATAACACTAAACATTTGTTAATAATAGTAACTAAAATGTTTTTGTAGTTAATGTAGAACAAGAAGAAAATATGTGCATATATTTCAAAGAGCCATGACAATAGTGAGCAACTTTGTAACTCAGTGGCATTGAAACTTTTTTTGTGCCAGGAGTAATGACTTCCAACAAACCTGAAATTATCAAATATCCTTTACACATGAAGGGTATTGTGTTTGAGAAACTGTTAATACTATACAATATATATATATATATATAGTTTTGATGAGTGAAAAGGTAATCTTAAAATGGAAATTTCATTGCTGTTTGGGACTCTATAAAAATTCCTATACTTGTGGGTGACTAACCCACTTGCTCCCTCTACAGAAATCTATAGGAAACATACTCCTCCTGCTACCTTGGTTCCTGTACAATTCCTATAGGTGTAAGCTATAAAATGTCACATAAATATAGTCAAACTGGTTGACTGCTTTACAAGTGCTTGTATTTGTGCTATTTTAACTCCTTAAACTGAAACGGATGCTGTCAGCTTCCAGCCAAAAAATCCAGATTTACCCATCAAATGGTGACAGCATCCAATAACATTTATGTATCTTTGGCTGAAAATTAATCAAATCCATGTTATTATCTGCACAATTAAGAAAATTAAAGTTTTATAAGGTATGGTGATAATTATTAGAAATCATGAAAATAGTTCTGGCAGAATGCCCCAAAAAATTATGGGTTTAAATTTTGCTTTAACGAATAAGCAGAAAAAATGTACATCCACTTTGAAAGCAAATCTGCATCAGGATGACAGTGCCTGTCTGGGTTTTTTTTCTTTTCTGGTACTGAGAGAATGTGAAAAAATATGTAATTCTTAAAGAAATTTTAGTCAAAATATGCATTAGATTAAGACATAATGAAATGGTGATATATTTTAATTGTGCAGGTTACTCATACAAACGAATATAAAAAATATCACTTTTAAATATGAATAAGTAACTTACTCATGCGTTTAACTGATTCACTGTTTACTCATCTTACAATTATTTTTTTCAAAATACATAATTCAGCATGCACATATCATAAGCAAATCATTAAGATCAGTAAATTTTTCTAACTACTTGCTATTAATATAATTCTTAGTACATCAGGTGATCCATAGGTGCTATTATGTAGTAATTAAATGTTTTATGGAGAAAAGAATGGATAAATCTGTGTATAAAAGTTTTTAATTTTATATTTAATACATTATGCAGTATTATTCTTTGTTGTCTTTAATTAGACAATTTGTATTTCTACTTTAATATTAATGTCAAATATTACAAAAAGTTTGTTTTGATAATTAAAAAAAGTTGCTTGTATAATTTATTGTTTTTGCATTGGCTTTCAATGGTGTTTCTTGGTTTTGATTGATTTTGTTAAAAGACAATGAGGACAAAATGTATATGGATTATTTTTAATACCTATGAATATCACTTAAATTTCATTGTAAAATGCTTATGTAAAGATTGGAAAATGGAAGATTGATTAAAGGAGATAATGCAGTAACTACTGTTTGATTGGTTATTTGTGTAAGTTGTTGTAATTTAATGAGGAAATGCATGAGCCAAATTCAACAACATATTTGTTTTCCAGACGAGGATTAAATCCACCTCATCGAGTAAAATCCATCACAATGACCAGTTTCACTTCTGAAGAAATTGACCTTATAAAACAAAGAGGAAATGAGGTACTTTTTTTTACTCCATTAAAAGTTATCATAAATAATATAATAAGGTAAAACTTTTCAGGTATTACTTGTGTGCTTTATCAAGAATTGTTTGTTTTTAAAGAATAATCATTTCTGCTTGTATTTGAGTAACTTACATGACTCAGAGAAGTAAAATACTTGTATTTGTAATGTGAACAGTTTTACATGTATTTTGATATGATTAATTCAAAGGAATTAAAAAGTCATGTTGGCATTCTTTTGCATGGAGAAATGCACATTAGCGGATAAGCAGGGAATAAAATTACCTTTTTTTAACACATTTGTATTAAAAAAATTCAGTGGTGATTGTAATAGGCTGCTTCTATTAATACAGAGGTTTTTATTTGAAATTTTACTGGTGTAGTATGCATTTTTAACATGCTATAACTTATAACAAAGTTCTTTTATTAATTTTATATGAAATTGGTTAAAAACTGTGAAACTACGTAAATTTTCAGTTTCCCTATCTTACAGATTTAGTTCTTTGTTATTTAATTCTGTAAGACATTTTGTTGCTAGCTGTTTCTCAGTCTTCATGGAGTAACTTCTGTATATGTATATACAAATTAAACTTGTTTTCTTAGAAAGAGTTTGTTTAGTGCAAATTATAAGAAATATTGCTTCTTAAGGTCTTGAGACAGCATTTACATACTCTTCTCTGTAATAAATATTTTGATTGAGTGGCAAGAACACATTTAAAATTTTTTTTAGTGTTTCATTTGAAGTATAGAAAAGTATACACATGACTGTCTTAATTTTTTACATTTCCTTCAGTGTGTATGTGTTTGAAGTATTGCAGGCATATATGGCTTGGAGCTTATGATCCTACAACAAATATGGAACTTGAAAGAAGGATTGATGACCTATGCTACAGGAAAGATTTCATGATACAGAAATATGAGAGCAAGAGATGGTATATTGATCCAGATATGGCAGTGAAAAAGATGAAGCAAGAATGTGAACATCAGCAACAGTCTTCACAAACACAAGGATCTTGGCAGTTTTTTCAGCAACAGGGTTTACACACCTCTGTGGATCTTAAAAATAGTGTACCTGAAACAAAACCCATGTCTACAATATTGGCAGAAACTGTTGATTCTCTAGTTGCCCAGAATGTCAAGGTAATCACATATCAAAAGGTAAAAGACAAGCAGCTCAACTCTTTGGAAAACATTATGAAATATCTTCTGATATACAGTATGTATTTATTTTGTATTTCTTACTGTAAAAACCTGAATATTTTAATTTTGAATAAACTGGTATTTTAAAAACTTATTTGCATGTATCTGAAACAGTCATATTTGAATAGTAAGGAATTAGAAATCATATAAAAATGTGAAAACTTGTAAAAATGTCTATTTGAAAATATATTACTTACCAGCATAATCATTACTTTAGGTTCACTCTTATAAATGTTTTGTAACTTTTAATAATTTTATATTTGTTACTGTGTTACAATTGTGACATTTAAGTTGAGTGTCTATTGTTAATAATTTGTTTCACAGTGAAAAACTATGAAGTGCTTATGGTTTCAGCAACACAACAATTCCTCCTGGAGCCCAACTGATACTACCACCACATCACAACAACTATTACAAAATCAAGTGAAAACCCAAGAGGATGTTTTTAATGTTAGTGAAAATAATTCGTTTGAAGAAAGTACAGCAAGAGCAAATGGTATAGATGTAATTCTAGAATGTATATCTTGTTGATATTGAAATTAATTTATTTTTAAACACTTGAGAAATTTGATATTTTGTCACTATACTTGTTAGGTTCACAGTAACTTTGTGAAAAAGTTCACATCTTTGAATTTTAGAATTTTGTGGTCATAACAACAAGTAAATCAACAGGAAACCATTCAATTCATAGAGGTCATTTCCTCTACTCAGGAATCCCACTACTCTCTTTGAGGTTTGTTGGGCTGCTTGACAGCCATCTAACACTTGGCATGACAGATACATAGGTTGTAATGCTTACTATCATAGTTGAAGCAGACTGATCCTGACCTGATGAAAAATAGATTTGTCTTGAAAATGAGTCTAGCTATGCCACTATGATCAAGCTTTTTAAATAGAATTTATTAAGACTGTAGCACCAATCTGTGATATCAAATAAACAACAAATATTCAACAGGAACTTCTAAACTGATTAGCATGTTTTAAATTTCTTATGTACCAATTAACTTCTCTTAATATGGGCCAAGATTCTGTGGTTTTTACTATCACAACCCACAAAAAAAGATGTGACCATACTTTGGGGCTATGTGTGCATTATAAGAGTGATAGTCAAAACCCAATTTTTGTTCTTACTAGCTACCATCCCTATAATATTGCACGTATTTGACAAGAAATCCTTAGGTTATTTTAAGTTTTGGGCAGAAGTTTCAACAGTTCTCTGTGTATTTATTATGTTTTAGATGTTCTGTATCATAAGACCTACTGCCTTGCCTATTATACCGGAATTTTAATTTTATTTTTGCCTTATTTCTAAAGTGTTTTGTGCCTTTATAATGCATGGTATGTTGGACATTGGTATTCAGTAATTTTAATCATTGTATGCCAGATTTCATATGTGGCCTGAAAATTTTTGAAAAGCTTGTCATTTTTACACACCATCTTAAAGTCTTAAAAATTTAGTACTTTTGCTTAAGTAGCTTGGAAAAGGAATAATAATTTGATATAATTCTGGCATGTTTTAAGTGTTTTCAGAAAGAAGTTGTAAAGTAAGTAATTAAAAAAATGAAATTCTAAACAAAAGTATCCATTTTTCTTTAATAGTCAGCTTTATCTAAACATTAACTGTTATTTGATTAAACATTTTAACACCACAAGAGCTGGTATTTCTCTGGCACTGCCTCTTCATGACAATTGAATGCACATATGAAGCAAGAGTTAGTAAATTACGTAAAGAAATATAACAGTATAATTTTTTCATGGTACTTGTGTGTCACATTGGTTGATATGGAGTACACTAAAACAACTTTAATATACATATATAAATTGTTAAAATACTGGTGTTTTTCTCTGCAAGTAAATTGGTTTGAAGACTGTTAATATGTATATTTAAAATTAGAGAATGATAAAAGTTTGTTTTTACTTAATTTTCATGAATGTAAATTAGGCCTTTCCTTAAGCTTCGTACATATGTAACCAGTTTTTCTACTCAGTACTCAGTATACATCATTGAAACATTTTACTTGACTAATGGTCTGACTGTTTTTAAATGTAGAGGTGTGAGTGTGTGATATTTTCAGGTGAACTGATTTCCCTATGAGTATTAGACCTGTTAATGACTGCATATTTGATCAGGAAATGTGGACAGTAATCTGTGTTGGGTGAGAAACAAACAGACTAAACAAGGTTGAAGGATTATATAAACAGTCTTTATTTAGACAAACATACAAACAAACAAAAATGGTATGTGTACCTGCATAGATAAATGGACAATTGCTTCTAGTGGATCAGTAAATAGCTCAATAGCTTTCCATTCTTCAACATGAATCTCTGTTGAAATAGTCACATTAAAAACCAAGTAGAACTGAACCAAGCTTGAATTCAATAGGTAAACTCACTTTCTTTGTCCAGTTGACAGCATCACTTCATGATCCTTTTTTTTAAAGCATTAGTTCAGACAACATCAACTTGTCAAGCAAGGGATATCACTGTTGCTAATGCTTTCATTCTGGATGTTATGTGTTACTGTAATAACCTCTTTGGCAGATTAGACACTATCTACTATAGAGAACAAGGAAACAAAGCAACTAGAGCAGGGCAACCTCAACAACTTTCTGAACCATGTGGATGTGCTTAAACTGCATAAAACTAAATAAATGAAAAAATTATATATAACTAAAGCAAGTAGAAAACATTTGATATACCTGCTTATCACAAGAGGACTAATTAGTGTGAAAAACAAACCTTGCAATGTAATAGAATTTAAAAGGACTTGAAATAGTCAAATATTGTTGGAAAGTGAAGGTCAACAGTACTAAACATATCTAGAGATCTGTCATATTTGTTGTCTAATTTCTTATTAGAATTAATCTATCATATTTAAAAAACAATTATAAGGTACAGTATTCTGAATAATTAATAGATCACAAGAGTAACTTACTAGAAATTTCACTAAACTAAAAATTCTAAAGAGGATGATAATAACAGGATACAAAAATTAAGATTAGAACAAATGTTTGCTTCTGTTATTACTGTTAAATTTGTTTTTATAATAATTCATTATTTTTATTATAGAGTAAATTTGATTTTAAATATAAATATGCTCTATACATGGTCTTGACGTAGGAGAAGAAATACTTTCAATATGGTCTTCTCACAAAGACTATCCTGATCCTTGTCTGCCCTCTAAGCATTGCTAAAAATTTTTTATACCCCATCAGTTTTGTGCCATTTCTGAACATGTACGTATCATGTGACTACTCTCCACCAATAGTATTCCACCACCTATACCAACAGTTCCCTCTGCTATTCCCACTCAATTCTCAATTTCTAGATTGGCATTACATTGATTAGACACGTGTTTAGTTTTTCCAAGTATAACTACAGTTTTTAATTGTGATTTGTTACTATTTCAGAGGACGTTTATTCAACAATTTGAAAATTTTTGTGTTGATTTCAATTGTTTCCATGATTTTTACATTCAAAAATTTTCTGGTTAGACCACTGGTAACCTACAGATATATGTACTATATATCAATCAGTTTCATTCTGTGGTGGACTGTCACTCATAGACTTAATGAGTAAAGCAGAAGGGCATTTTTGCCCATCCCTGCTGATCCTTTGACTGAATAAATCAGGGTAGGTCTGTTTTTAAAAATAGGGAATCGCAGACACCAACTGCACTGTCTATGGTGTGACGTTCCTCTGGACTTCCCACTGCATCCCCCATTCCTTTTTCTTTTAGTGGAGCACAGGAGTGCTTACCAGTTCCTGGACCATTGAGGTTTCCTCCTGAGTGAGTTTAGAAATTTATTTTTCAATGCACACTTATGATTATCCAATCAGTGAGAAGGGGCAAAACTCTTCCATTTTCCCTGGATGCTTTTTCCCAGGTGGATAGTAATAAACAGAATTATAATTTAATTGGTTGGAGCAAGTTCGGCCTACGTGGGATCCTCCTCGTAATGTCAGGTTCAGGATGAAAATGCCCTGTTCCTATGGTGGAATGCAGTAGACACCTCTCTTTTTGTTAATTCCGGTTGCAAAAGGTTCTTTCCCTGCTTCTATGGTTGAGTTTGGGAGACTTCGTCTGCCTTGTTATACTGGCAACAAGGACGTTCATGTTCTGTTCCTAGGGTTGGACAATTGTTCCATCTCCTCCTTGTAATTCTGGATAAAGAATGTCTCTGCCATGTATTTACAGTTGAGTGAGTTATGATTTTACCCATAATACCGGTTACAGCTTTACCCTGTTCTTAAGGTTGAGGCAATGCCATGCCCCCATAATTCTGGGTTTAGTTTGTAATATATTCCTTACTCCTATGGTGGTTTGGGAGTTTGTCTAGTTACGACCAAAAGCTTACTTCCTCTTCGTAATTCTGGTAGCTTGATGTATGACACTCTACATAGAAATATGTACATGTACCTAGTTGCCAGTTATTTTATATTCAATTGGTAATTAAGTTATGGCAGTAAGAGGCATTTTATCACCTAAAATTTCTAAAAGTTCATATAATTAGTAATCCCATAACATAAGTAATCCTCTTCGTAATTCCATTTGCTTGATGTATGATACTCTGTATACTTACCATTGGGGTTGTTGGGTATATATAATACGGTCCACATGCCCTAGCCACTATGCTGTTATTACAGTTTTTTCATCCTCAATCTCCTAATGCCCAGGACAAGTTATGGAACCTTGTCTGTCCAGTTGATGTTGAGAATGTACATAGCTCATTCCGTTTATATGTTACTGTAGCTTTCACCTGTTAAACCATATTCCGCCTGTGCAATTAACTTCCTTTTCCACCCATTTTGGATTAATTTCCTACTTCTTGGGTGAAAAGCATACCTCCTCCAGAAGTAGTGCAGTACCCCACAAATGTGCTCCATTTTTATTGCCAGGCATACCCATTCATTTTGGGCAGACGCTTTCCACTTGGTTTCACTTTTGCGTGCCTACACCAGCCTCTCCATCTTTGCAATGTGAGATTCTAGCTTTGTGTGAGAGGAGGTAAAACCATATTCAGAAGTTAACATTTTTCTTAAACTAAAAATGTATTTCCGATAGCCTCCCCACTGCCAGTGTTCTTATTTTGGTACCTCACAATTCTCAAAAGTGAGGATCGAGCAAAAATAGCAGAGGGAGTTAGCTGCACCAGTATAGGTGGTGCAGTACTATTGGTGGGGAGTAATCGCATGATATATACATGTTCAGAAATGGCACAATACTAATGGGGTATAAAGACTGGTGCAGTGATTGCAAAAATGATTTTAGCAATGGGCAGACAAGGATCGAGATAGCTTTGTGTGAAAAGAGGTAAGTACTTATTGGAAATACATTTTCAATGTAAGAAAAATGTTAACTTCTGAAAAATGGTCTCTAGAACTTACAAAATGCTTTGAATTAGGCTTAATCAAAGTTGTGTAAACCCTGTAATGATTGGCTTATTGGACAGGAAATTGTTGAGGAATTTTCATGGTGTTAAAGTTTGTTGCACAGTTGCTATACTTGGATTATTTTTCAGATTATCCAAGAGCGATCTTTTTGTTTTTATGGTCCAGCTTCCCCACTATTGCACCTGTTGTCTTGCTAAATGGTAATCTGATGTAAAGTTATTTGTGTTTGTTTTTCCAGCATTATTGGAGCTTTTGTCTTTTGAAGTAGGCATGTATTATAGCACATTCTCATGTTTCCTGTGTTTAAAGTTCTTTTTTTTAAACTGAAGTTTTTATTATTATAGCTATAATATCCTAGTGTTATTTTAATGTTTGCTGTGCTCTTTGTGTTTTCATTTATTGTATTCCACCATTTTTTTACATTTAAAAATAACGTGCATATGTACTTTCTGAATGCTTCTTGTTTAACAAACATTATTATTCTTGCTAGAAACTAACACTGAAAATGAAAACCATCCAAATTTTGAGTGTGTTTTTACTGAAAATCCAGGTAAGTGTATTTTTTTCAACAGCTCATGCATATGCACGCACACTTGTTAACATAGAAATATGTACATGTACCTAGTTACCAATTATTTTATATTCAACTGGTAATTAAGTTATGGCAGTAAGAGGCATTTTATCACCTAAAATTTCTAAAAGTTCATATTCATATAATTAGTAATCCCATAACATCCTACCAGAAAAGCCCATTTTATTGGACTCTCATTAATAACAACCTTTTTTTTTCTGATTCAACCACCCTATAGTCCAATTACTAGTCTTTCCCCAGGCCCTCACTGATGTGATTTTCTTAACTTATCTTTTGTATGATGCCATATCAAGAGCTGTTTGAAAAATTGAAGTACATCATATTTATACCCTTTTCTTCATCCAGATAACTAGTAATGCCCTAAAAATAAATGACTAATAGGAATTCCCTTTGTTGAATCCATTTTGACTTTCTAAAATAACCTATTTCATCGCCAATTGAATTTGTAAAGATTCTTATTTCAGACTCTCTAGAATTTTACTCATTACAGAAGTAAGACTGACTGGCCAATAATTTTTAGAGCAAATTATATCACCCTTTTTAAATATAGAAATAATGTTACCAACTCTCCAATCTTAAAGCACCTATTCATTGTTTATTGTCTGATCCTATTGCAATTTCTGTTTTAAATACTCAACCTTTCTACTTAGCATCAAGGAGTTAATATCTACATGATTCAGGTCAATTCCAGTATTTCCCATGGAGTGCTCAGGGTCAGGAATATTGAAAATATCTTCTTGTAAAAACAGAGGAGAAGAAAACATTTTAAAGCTCAACTATGTCATAGTCTTCAACAGGAACCTTGCAATCAGCATTCTTTAAGGACCTAATCTCCATTTTAACATATTGCTTATCTTTATCATATTAAAAAAAATCATTGTTAGTTTAGCATTATTGACCAGTTGTTTCTCATAAACCCATTTTGATGTCCTAATTTCGTTTTAATGAAATCCATATTTTTCCTATAGTTTTGTGGAACTATCATCCATTCTGTCAATTTAAACTTCTTAAACTTATGACACTTATCTTTGATTTTCTTCTCTGTGTCTTTAGTAAGGCAATTAGGGTTGATCTTCCCTGTTATTATGTTCTTCTTTTTAGGAACATACCTGTCTTGAATTAAAAGTAACTTATTTTTAAAAAATTCTCAAAACTATTCCAAATAACTTTTTAGCTCATTATTTCTATTTTCTGATGATAAATCTGAATGGAGAGATGTAATTATATCATGATTAGTCTGCAAGACATTGAGTTATAATAAGCATTTTTCCAAGATTCAAGTTAGTGTGATATTTGATACCTCGCTAGCACAAACACCATTATTGAAAACCTATTATCTATTCAATCTAGCAAATATGGTATTAGAGGTCATCAATAATGATAATTTAAAAGCAATGAGTCTACCACTAGAAAAACCTGACCATGAAAAGATGTCAGACTGTGTCTAATTATCCATTATCTTCAGTGGTCAGGGTGAGAATTCGACTACTATCATCATTCATACTAATTGAGTAATATCATATAATCTTAGATACAAACAAGAAAGCATAGCATTAGTGTTTGAAAATTGTGGATGATGAATGACCGAAGAAATTTGGTTTGATGAATCATGATTTAAATTTTTTTTCACTGACAACAGAGTAAAATATAAAAAAAACTTGAAAGTTAAATTCACTACTGTTTCTTTTGACACCAGTGAACCAATTACACAGCATAAGCCAAAGAATGAAATATCCAAAATCTGCTTTTTCATACATATCCCATCTGGCACAGTTTTCAATGTTACCAGAGGAGCGAAAGTAAAGAACCAAGAAAACCTTGCTTTGCTTGAAGCTATTGTTCAATAGAAGTGATCTTTTCTGCCATTTTCAATGATGCATGTTAGTAAAACAACCCAAGTTGTGATTAATATTGAAGGTGGTCTCACTTTCTGTTATAATAATGTTTCAGTTGTAAAATACTACACTCGTCTTAAGCTATAGTGTGTGAATGTTTTTGATGATAAGTGTGTGTTTAATGGTTAACTTGTATCCTTTATAAGTATAAGGTATGTTATTGCCAATATTTCATACATTTCATGAAAGCATTTAACTGTTATAATTGGAGAAGAGAACATTTCAAAGCATTAGTTGTGTTTTATTCAGAAATAATATTTATTAACTATTTTTGCCTTGTATTGCTGGTGAGGCCACAAAAACAATTTTTGGTTTTTAATTAAAACAAATGTTTTCACATAGTATATGAATGTATGTATGATCTTTTTTCATTCATTAATGAATGCATTGCTGGTGTTTCTACCATTTATATTTTTTATAAAGTTGAATTTTGTTTCAGCTTCTCCTTCCTTTTGGCTGCCTTCTCCTGAGCTTCCTACTCATTCTTGGTTTATGTTGGCCATACCTTTACTAAATACTTCACTTCAGCTATCTAAAGTCACGAAAAATACTCCAGGATGGATCTCATGTGATGAAGTTTTAAACCAGGAACATCCACTTTTCAACTGGCCAGTAGCTCAACCTGTTCGCACTGTCTATTCTCAAAATATTATTTCCATACCTTCTCAAAGTATCAGTGCACTGCTGTCCTGTTCAGTCAGTTCTCAGTCCTCTTATAACCCGTTTTTCGTTTTACCTAAACTACCTGAAAATGATTCTGGTTTTCTAGCAGATACTGCAAGCTCTTCAGTTTTAACAATACCGGTTGCTCAAAATCCTGAACAAATTTCAACCCAAGACTTTACTTTTCCAACAGGTTCTATACCAAGTAGATTTAATTTCAGTCAGCACTCTGGAATTCCCCAAAATTCACCTCAGCAGATGAACCCACCTGCTGCTGACAAGTATGCTGCAGTTTCTGACCTGGACAACCTTTTCCATCAGATCTCTAAGCCAGCTGCAACAGCTGGATTCACTTGGTCAGATACTAGTGTTATAACATCTACTGCATTTCAATCATCAGCTGCTCCTGGCTCAGTTTATGTAACAGGTATGATGATTTTTTAATACAAATTTTGATATGTTTCTCCAGTGTTTTTAACCACTTATTATGGCAGGATTTGTGAGTTAATGTAATTGTAATGTAATGTAATAATATAATTTAGATTGTCTTAGAATTATAACTTTAACCTCACACTTTGATTTTTAAAGCCTTAGGAAAATGTGTTGTTCATGTTGAAACCAAAAGCACTAAAATTAACAGTAAATACCCTAAATACCTTCAAAACTAGAGTTAATTTAACCTAAATAAAAAATATTGTAAATATTCACCCTTAATGTTACTTAGAACTAAATCCTCTCATTCTCCATGAAGTTAACTACATTTATTCTCTCACCATAGATATAAACAAGGCACTGTGGATAAGACATCTTTAAAAGATTACTGCCTCAAACTCATACTTTACATCAAGAGAAATATACATATTTTTTTAATATCTACATTTTCTCTGTCTTTCAATACCTAACAGTGGTATATTTACTTAAATCATATGTGTAGATATACACACATACACACACACACATCGAACTTATTGGCTAACCAATTGTAACTGTTACGTTACAATTATATAAATTTACTAGATCTCAAATATTCTACCTTATGTCATTTATTTACACTTAAATACACAAATATTCTACCTTATGTCATATATTTACACTTTAATACACAAATATTCTACCTTATGTCATATATTTACATTTAAGTATACAAATATTCTACCTTATGTCATTTATTTACACTTAAATACACAAATATTCTACCTTATGTCATTTATTTACACTTAAATACACAAATATTCTACCTTATGTCATTTATTTACACTTAAATACACAAATATTCTACCTTATGTCATTTATTTACACTTAAATACACAAATATTCTACCTTATGTCATTTATTTACACTTAAATACACAAATATTCTACCTTATGTCATTTATTTACACTTAAATACACAAATATTCTACCTTATGTCATATATTCACATTTATATATACACATATTCTACCTTATGTCATATGTTTACATTTAAATGTACAATATTATATCTTTCTTAAATAGTTACATTTCAGATATCAAGATTCCACTAATTCCCTTGCAAACTTTTGTACTGAATTTTTCTGTATATGATTTTAATGAGGAACATCCTGCTTAAACTACCCTTTATCTGTTTACTGAGAAAACAAACACATAAATTAATCTTAATCTTATCTAGCACTAATTCACTGCTCAAACTGTGTGTTTTAAAATGTATTTAGAAAGTAAATGTATAGCAGTAACTATGCCTGATTGACACCACTAATATCATATCTAATACAGAATAAAGCAAATATCACATAGTGGTAACAGAGACTAGGGTGAAAACCGCATTGTTAAAAAATCAACATCTAATATTTTAATTTCTTTGGTGACTGTCTTAATATTAAATCATTTAGTAACACCCTGTAAGGGTTATCATAGTGCATATTTCATAATTTCTTCAAATTTCATCACCAGCTTTAAAACCCCATAAAGTTAGTTCATAATATTCTAACTACAAAAAACAACATTAGCTATTGAGTAAGTAGTTTTCGTATTCAATTGGAAGTTTAGAAAAAACAGATTTAAATGGTAACAATATAATAGAATGTATGATAAAACGTGTGACATTCACGTGTTTAATATAATAATATTGTTAAGAGAAAACATTAAAAAGGTGTTTTTGGTATTTAATATTTATTATAAAACTTTGTTTTCCACCTGATAAAATATTTTATATTTGCCTTGCCTGATTATTCTGAAGACTAAATTCCTCTTCCTGTATTTTTTAACATCTCATAAGATTATATGGTAATTGTGTTGTAACATCTTTTGTTCCTACTGTTACAGTACCTGTAGTTTAGCATGCTACTTTAAATTATGTAATTTGAACTGGAGAAAAGTGGAATTTGTGTATAAATAAGAAATATTTTATAAGCACTACATCAAAATTCTTTATACAGCATCATAGATGGTAAATGAGTCTTTTGTTTCTATAGACTATTCTGTCATATATATGAGTTTGTATAAATGTGAAGAATCAGTTTGTGCTCCTAAATGAATAAATTCTCCTCAGTGACTCACATATGCCTCTTTCAATCTCCCTGTCTCTCTCTCCCTCCATGTATAACTGTATAATATTTTTGAGTTGATGAAAATAATGCCCCATAAGGGATGGCTTTTTTGGGGAGGTTTAGCCTCCACAAGCTTCTCGTACTCGCTGCTCCTGTGCACTATGACAAATAACTTTTATACTACCATGAATATACTCAACTTAATAGTTAAAAATCATAATTTGGAAAGGTTTTTTTACTACTTCACTTTAATATGCTTCTTCAATTTAACAAAAAAGCAAATAAACTATCTTATAAATTAAATTTATCCAATACAAATGTTGGATTGATATATTTACTTGATAATTACTTACAAATAATATTAATTTTGTGTAATCTGTTTTGATAGTTGTAAGAAATGATAAAAAATATGCCACATGCAAATCCTGGCATGTTGTATAGTAAATAATTTGTTGGATATATTGGTTTATGTAGCACTTTGTAGAATAGGAGGAGAGAGATTCAATTATTGATGAATCATTATTTGATCAAAAAGTTTTATGAAATCACACTGTAATGAATGGGAGTAGTGAAAGATATGTTTTTAACAGACATACCAGATATTTACTATTATGTTGTACCAGATTTGTATATCTCTTTCAGTTTAATTTGACCTTAAAATATTTAGATTTTGAACTGTTTTAGCTGCATCCAACTCCTTCAGCACTAATACTGCTGCAACTTGGAGTCAGCCATCTCCTCTGAACACTCAAGAGCAAGGTCATTTTTCAAGTACCAATCCATTTCAGGATGTACTGCAGCCTACTGGATTCGATGCTCTTGCACCATCTTCAGCCTTTGGTATTCAAGTCCGTGCACAGAACATGTCTGAATTTGAGCAGTTTGAACCCCAAGATAATATTACAACCAGTTATGCTTTTGGAGTAAGAGCAAGATCTAGCACTAGTTTTGGGGCTTTTATGTCTGCTAATCTTGAGTTGGGGAACCAACCAAATGACATACCAACAAATTATTATGGAGTACAAAATGTTGATTTTGGTTTGAGCTCATCAGCCAGTGGACTGTCTGAAACAGGAACTGCCCCTACAGGAAGTCAGTCAACTGGGACTGCTTGGACATTTGAAAATGGTCAACAAACTCAGATGAACGTATGTTGTAGAAACAAACTTGGCATAAGGCCACAGCAGCAACCTCCTCAGTCTTCAGTCTATCCCTTCTCAGTAAGTATTTTTTTAAAAAAACTAAAACTGATGTCAAAGAATTAGTTATTTATTAAAGTTTCTTTATTAACATAACATATTCTGCTTAAGATCAGAATTGATAAAACACCCAGAGTTAAATGTTTTCATTGGATCTGTATATTAATATGTCAGAAAAATATTTAGAATTAAGTGCCGAAATGCTGTTTTTAATAGGAAAACCATTTTTTATGTCTACTAGGAGATATAATACTTTCTTAAAAAATTGTAAATGAATCTATATTTGATCATTAAAAGATATACAAGTGAATTGATAAATCATCTATAGTTTTTGTTGTGAGAAGTTAAACTCCTAAGGTCTTCCTACCTGATTTTTAAGTCTTTCTTATGTTCAGTTATCTACTTTCTTTATCTCTTCTATGCAGTAATATTGAACTTTTGGGATAAGGATTTTTTTTTCTGTCTAATTGCTGTGTCAGAATCATCAAGGACCCCTTTCCAGGTTTCTGCATTTTTTTATTTTTTTTTGCTGTTCCAAAATGGACAGGTGAGTTTCACCTTTATTAATCTTGATCAGGCTAGTAAAGAATATGCTAATTCCATATATAAAAATAAAATTAGTTCAGAAGTTAGTTAGGTGATCCATCACACACATTTCCATGCATTTGTTTATCCTCTATTCAATTTTTTTCTTTGTGCTCTTCAATTTTGAAACAGTTTGCGAACTTAAAGATAACATATGTTTTCTCAGTTTAATTTTTTATTCTAACATTGTTGTCTTTGATTGTTCATTGTTAACAATCAATTCCAAAGTCCAAGTTACCACTTCAGAGGTAATGCCATCTAACATCACGGTACACAAACTGTGGGTGGTGGGTAACTTGGCTATGGAATTATTGGTTCTCATCTGCCATAAGATTGATCATTATATGAGTCAACCTGCTTCTCCTGAACATGCCGAATCTGTCCAGGCTGATGAGGAATTTAACAGCCTTTTTCCTTCACCTGATTTTACAGTGTCTTACTATGCCCCTAATGCAGAACCAGCTTGGCCTAATACGTCTTTTTTTTAGACATGATTTCTCAGGTGTGTCCTGTTTTATCCATTTCCCCAATTTCTTATAATCCCCTTCCTTCTTTGTTACATGATACCTCCTCCCTGGATATTAGGGTTCATGCAGAGTGTTTTGTCTGTCAGTTGGTTGAGGGTGCTAGCATGAGGAATTTGACACCCTTTTTCCTCCACCTAATTTTACAGTGTCTTCCTATGCCCCTAATGTAGAACCAGCTAGGCCTAATATGGCTTTTTTAAGACATGATTTCTCAGGTGTGTCTTGTTTTATCCATTTCCCCAATTTCTTATAATCCCCCCTTTTTTTTGGCACTGTAGATGGTTCCTGTCAGATTGGTTTTGAGTGGGATTGTTTACTTTACCAAGACATCATTCTTATGCTGATTGTCCAAATGTTGGGTTCCCAGCTCGGTCAAACAATTGATCATATTGCTATAATTTGTCCCATTCATAGATTGATGGGTATGAGATTTCCCTCTGGTCTGCTGAACTTGAGGTGAAGACAGTATGATCCTCTTTCCTACCCCCAGCAGATGGCTGGGTTTTGGATTGCAGTTGACTTACTGCTGGTATGATCCTCTTTCCTACCCCACATGGATGTCGGTTCCCAGTGGCTGGGTCTTGGATTGTAGTTGACTTGCTGTGTATGGTCCATCAAACCCTATCCATTCTACACCTTGGGTCACATACTTTTTGCTTTCACCCACAGTACTGTCATCTGCAGGGTTGAGATTCAGATATCAGGTGGTTCAGATCAATATTCAACCATTGTTCTCTCCCTTTTGGATGTGTTCCTCCCTTTTTCTGCCCTTCTCTGCATCACCTCTTTCCACACTGGACAAAGAGTATACCTGGTACAGAAGTGGTGTGGTCTCCCACGTATGATCCTCTAATGCAAGGATCTCCTCTTTTAGGATGTCCTTCAGACATTTTCAAAAGATGCTTCTTTCTTTCCCTTGCACCAGTCCCTCCAGCAATTTATGTGAGAAGAGTTAATGTACCGTATTGGAAGTTATAATTTTCCTATACTGAAAATGTATTTCTGATAGGTACTTACCTCCTTTCACCCTTCCTCCCCACTGAAAACCAGTGTTTTCATTTTCTGCCAAACCTTTAAATGATAGTTTGGTAGAACCCAATAGAGAGATTCAAATACATCAGGAGGATGTGTCACACTCCTATTGTTGGAGAGTTGTCGCATGATGATTTGTGAGATGCAGTTGAAACCATGTTGAATGTAGCTCAAGGCTTGTGGCATGTGAAAAGAGTTTTACATATAGAGGACAGCACTGAATGAGAATAACTATTTATGTGAAAGGAGGTAATTACATATCAGAAATACATTTTCGGTATAGGAAAATTATAACTTCCACTTGATTGTCCCAAAGTTTGTTTATTGCTAGATTAATGGGGGTAAAAAAGGCATTCCAAGCTATTAATCAGAATTTCATTGAGAGATATCCACAGAGTATCAAGTGATAACTGCTCAGTTATCATACTGTTGGTCAGCTGGTATTAGTAGATGTAATACTTTGAACATCAACAGTTTGCTGAACTGAATATGGTTGAAAATTCAACTGGAAGGGCATTTTGATCATTATTTTCTTGGCTTTTGAGTGGTTGAAATTCTGCACAGAAAGCTGTTTGATTCTTGTTAGCCTTTCCCCAGTACATTTAAATGTGTATAACTACTCCATGTATAGTGATTGAGTTATATTTTGTTTCAGCATGAAATATGAATCAGGTTGTTAAAAAATCTAAGTATATGTGTTTATTTTCTGTAATGCCAATTGTAGCAAGTGTATTAATTCATATTTATGGCATTAACATATGTCTCAGTAGTTCAGTTGCTGTTGCTGACAACCATTTAGGACAGTAAGTGTGTTTTGCTGTAAAGTATTTTATTTAGCCTAGGTTGGTGTGAGTGTGTATTAACATATATTTTTGTGACAGCATGAATTTTATTGATCCTGGCTGAATTCTGCTGATGATTAGTTTTTTCATTATGGCAAGAAAATGTGTTGAGCATAATGGCTCATAGATGGCAGCACGATAGGGAATTGCAGCTATCAAGATATAGTTTGTGGGGGTGAACCATGTCTCTTACTTTAGTGAAGGTTCATGAGGGGAAGGCAGTCTGCCTTAAGCAGCAAGTGGTGATGCATAATGTAGGTACATATATATATATGTGTGCAGATTTTGTTAAACAAGACCGATGTCTGTAGGTTTACTTTCTTCTTAGAATTCTTCTCAAGAAGTCGATAAGCCGTCTTAACGTTGTTAGAACAACGGGTAAAAGTTGTAGCTAGTGATGAGTTGGCTGACGCGTTTATGAAAATGGAGATTGTGAGGGTACAACCAAAGATGTCACTTTGTATGTGCACCTGGTTTGTACTAAATTTGTATCTGAAAGAAGTAGGAAAGGAAAGCGATGTAAGTGTCAATGAATTCCCTTGATCAAACGTTAGAGGCTGGTACTTGTTTTGGTTATTTGTTTAGAAACCAGTACTTGCAGTTTCGATTCCCATTTCTTTCCTACTGGACACAGGCTATGTTAATATACCAACCAGACAGTAGTGAGGGGAAGCACCAGGGTTACAGGATAGCTTTGTTAGCTGTTGTCATGGCAATGATGACTGTAGGCAGCACAACTCAGTGTTGGTTAGTGCAAGACTTAATTAAACCTGGTGCACCAGGATATCCATAGGCACAAAGGATACATTGCCTATATGCATTTTAATACACATAATCCTCTAGAAGTGTCACTTGACCACAGAAATAGTTTTAATATTCGGTCTAAAAGCAATTTTAGAATAGAAAAACATTGTACTTGAGCTGTTATAATTTTTAAACCTATAATTTTGGTGGAACTTCTGACAAATCAAGTTCATTTGACTTTATATTTACAATCCTGATTTTTCTATTTAAGATCAAGTGCATAATCCTTCTGACTGTGATTTCAATTAGATAGTTGTGTTAGTTCATTTTGCCTAATTGTTTAGTCTTAATGCTATACATTGGTAAGAGAATATCTTAGATTTTCTTTTCAGAGGCCTTGACAATTTTGACCCTTATATGACCATTCCTAAGATACCAAGTGCCATCCTAGCCTTTGACAAAGTGGAGCTCCTGGATAAAGATGTATTGCTGGCCTGTGCAGTGACCATTAAGGATCTTACTGAGTCCTGAATTCTTCAGGGGCTGGGCAACCCAAATAGCTGCTGAGGAAAGATCCAGCCATGATGGGGGTCATCTTCAAAATCAGCCATGCCATTTTTATCCAGTCTCCTTATGACTCAACCCCTGAATTGGTTGGTCAAGAGAGATATGACGAGCCTTTAAAGAGTTTTGTTGAAGTATGTACAACAACCAAGTGACACAGTCGTTGGATGTGTACACACCTTTAGTACACACCTTTCAATACATACCAAAGCCCAAAAAAGTCTTGGAACTAAAATCTCCTCGATGATTGTATAAGCACTGAGAGGGTCTCCATAAGCTGGAATTGAGGGATACATCAACCATGGCCAAAATATCATAGACTGCAGGGATCTTCACAGTGAATGTGGTACTTTATGTCCACTGCAGCTAACCAACCACCACTGAAGCAGTCCTGCAGTCTTGTCTCAGGAGCAGCCAAGGTTAGAACTCTAGTACATGATCACCAACCAGCATCACCACCAGACCATCCCTGCAACAAGTCTCCTTGCTAAAGCAAGACTGCCAGGAACAGGCAGCCAAGGCAGACAAGCTACAAAAGCAACATGAAATACTATCTCAGGTGGAGGAGGAGGTCTGACAGTTGCATAATGTATACAATGCTGCACCATGTTCTCACAGTTAGCTGCACTATTGTCTAAACATACATTCTTGGTACTTCTTGTTTTCGAAGTATCAAAAGTTTTCAAGTCTAATTAGGTAGAGGAGAAATATTGTCAAATTCTAAATGAGACTGTAATCCCATGCTTATAAACTTGAATATTTTTCTTTGTATAATACATACATAAAAAAAACTATCTTAAATGCTTAAAGGTTGAAAAAAATATTTTGCTGGTCAGTCCAAAAAATAACTTTCACTTTAGTTCTCAAACCAGTAAATCATAATTATATCAAGGTAACATTTTACAGTAATATAGTATGAACCACAATAAGCACTTTCACGTGAATTTAGTTTTGCTTAAGTTTAATCATCTAAAAAGAAAATTTTTGATGTTATAACTCTTATCTTTTGCAGTGATGAAAGAATCTTAACTTAGAAATCATTATGTGGTGTATAAATGGAGGAAAAAATCAAAATTAATTCATGAAATTTCTTTATTTCACAAATGAACAAACGTTTTTACAAAAAACTGAATTTATATCATATGAAATTATGATGTAATATGCATGTGTTAAATTTATTCTTATTTAGGAAGCTAATGAGGCAACTTACCCATTGAAGCTTAATCCTGGAAATCCTTTCCTATGACATTTTGATCTAAAGAAAAATTCTGGTATCGGAAATCTTTCTGTGAGGTGTGATTGGTAATGATGTTTTTTTTTGTTTTTTTTGCAAATATAACCTTCACTTAATTCTAATCAGTTGAATACAAACCTCATATATTATAACACTGATACAAATTGATGGGAAAATACTCATTATTTTGTGAATATTATATCTTTACTTTTTAAATGAAAATATTTTATGATCCAACATGATTATCCTAACACTGTGACAAACATACTCATGAGTATGTAATATGATATTTTCTATAATGTTTCTTACAAGTGAACAAAAATCCTTGCAATGCAGAAACTATTGGTCTTCAATGAAAATAATAATCTAAATTTAATTTTATCAATATGCTTATTGGGTTAAATCTAAATTTAAAATATCCTCTTTTTTTTTTACTTCTAAAATGTAAAAATAAATTGCCATTTAAAAGTATCTTGTTTGAACAGATGTGGGAAGATTTTGTGTTAAACTAATCTTTGTAATCCCCAAATTTATTCATTTAACGATATTTAAAAATGAGAAATTTCAGGGAATTGAACTGTCAGAAAATGTATTTGAACATAAATTATTTCATAAAATTCCTTCTAATTCTATCAAATTATTATATACCATACTTCTTCATTCATGGGTTTGAACTATTTTCTGGTGTAGACATATATATTCTTTTCAAATTAACAAACTTCAGCATGTATTTGTTTTAATACAAATTAATTTCAAATTGATAACTATAAGAAATTTTTGAAACTTTGCATAGGAAAAAAAGATAACATTAAAGAAAATCTAATTTGTATTATTTTAGCTAATAAAACGTGCTAAAATTATTGCTTACTGTCTGTGTGCCTAACTTAGCAGTAACTGTATGATTGTGGCATATAACCAGCACCTGGGAGAGGAGGGTGCACCCGGTATCACCAGGGCTCAGGCAAATATTTTCACACATATGATACCGAAAAAATCCTTTTCCTCTCTCAAAAACAGTAGTATTTATATCCTGATGTTGCATTTTGGTGAGTCTTGCAAGGGGAAAAAATAATATACACATTTGAGGGGGGGGGGTAAGGGGAAGTACCAGGGCCAAGGATTTCTCTCCTGGACCCTGCATATGAGTACATCTATAAAAGTTGCAGAAAATAATAATTCTGTAATTTTCCAACCACTAGGGTTGCTAATTGTGATTCATCCTAAAGATTTTCCCATAAAATTAAGTTTTTTGATAGAAAAATAAAATCCGTTTTTTTGCATTGTAACATAAACTCATTTGTGTGCATGTAAAACAACTTGATATTTGCTTTTGTGGGCACTGCCTGTAATATCATTCATAATTGTGTTTATTGTTTATATTCTGTCATTCCTGCCATGTGCTGGTTGAAAATTTGGTGTATATCTACTAATTGCCTGAAAAATTTGTGAAGGCTAGATAAGATCCTAAAAGTTGTTTCTATGGTTATATATCTTAAATCTGATTAAATTGTTGCATAATGGCACTGGCTTTAAAAATTTAATCTGCATTTCATACAGTCTTAGCTGTAGTAACTAATTGTTGGGTGAAAGAATTGAATTTATTTCATACAACTATGAGTAATTATTAGCTCTTTGTAACAAATTACAAGCTTTAAAATTTGAATTTATCCTTCTTACTTAATACTCTTAGTTTGTTTTAGCTATATTAATGAAATCTTGGTTTTAAATACTGAATCTTTTTTTCCCTATAGTCTTGTATATTTTATCTGTTTTTTTGTTGTTGTTGTTGTTTTCACAAATATAAAGGATTAAAAATGAGCCATTGTGATATGCAGGCATACTTTCTTATTTTATTGTAGAATTTTTCAGAATTACTCATTTATTCATTCTGGGTCTATGAAGTTTTTGCATATTCAAACACATGGTCCAGAAAACCATTAAGTTGACTTCATTCTGGAGTTGCCTTTATATATCTTTGTTGTTCTCTAGAGCTAATACTTGCTCCTCCTGTGGGTGATATTGCTGTAATGCTGCATGTTGTGCAAAAATACAAACAATGGTGACCTTCACTGGTAGAGCAGATGAAATTTAGATTTTATATCATCTCATATGTTGAATGAGAATAACCAGTCATGTAGAGAGCACTAGTTGTTATGGGTGAATCAACTGTTTCTCATTAACCCTTTCACTACAGTCAGGTTAAAGAGTGCATGTCAAAATTTTATTAAATAACCGTACTATTACACATGTCAATAGAATTGACATCAAAACGTAGTTTATAATTCAAATTTTAATATTATATATATATTTTTTAATTTCTTAGTTTAAAAGGAATTTTAAAGAAAAAAATGCTAAATATCAATTTTTCTTGTCACATAGCATCTTCTGTCGTCTTATTGCTTCGTTTATATTTTATTATGCCTACCATACAATGTATATAGTGGTTAATGAATTAAAAACTTGAATTTTAGATATAGGCAAGCTAGAATATAAAATAAGAACCTCCCACCTCTTCGATTTGCTGAGATGTCAGTATATTTAGCCAGTCTGGTAGATTGGCTCCTCTACTCCACTACTCCATTTTTTTAAAACCTCTTGTCTAGTCCCACCTACATCTTTTGACTAAGTGTTTACTACCAACAGAAAGAGCAGCTTTCTGTGTAGGTAAATCTGACAGTAGTTTGTAATTAGCTTGAATGAGAAAGTCATAATTTCACCAAAACTATTTTCAGTGTGATGAATATGTTGTTGCTCTGAATTGATATGAGATTTTTTTAAAGTTATATAATGCTTGTTCAGAAACCCAAATAAATTACAGAGGGTTTGTGTCCACTGATGTAAATAGATAATTTTTTGTTTCCAAAGATGTTTATTTGAAGCATACAAAAAGTAATATCTCATCACCCCTCCACTCGAAAGAATAAACAAGGCTTACAGCTCAACTTAGTGTGTACGACGCATGAGCAAAAAATTACATAACACTGTAAGTACTCCAAATTTTTATTTCTCGAACCATTTTTTATTTAATAGAAATAACTAAAATTTAAATGTTTGTCGATAAATAGTATTTATTAATAAGTTTACTGAATGGGAAATAAGATTTTATAACCATATGCACAAATAATATCTTTGTATGCTTATACAGTATACCATTAAATTCCAAATATCCCAGAATAATGACCAATACTCAAGCACTTGCAGTTTATTGGATCAGCTCTGAACCATATAATAAACATTTTCACAGATTCAAAGTGTAATCTTATTACTCGGGGAAATTCTCATTGTAAACACTACAGGATATATAAGCGATAAATTTGACATCATGTTCTCAGAGCAGGGGTCAAGTTGGCTTATTTCTTCATACATGCTTTGTTGCTCTTGAGAGTATATTATGGTGTCATGTAAACATTCTAATGACACAAGCAATGATTTGTTGCTTTATTTTCAGCCATTGACAATAAAATAAACACAGAAAGTAAATGTAAAATTTTTAACAGTTCAAACTCTCAATTGAAGTACTTTGAAACTTTATGACCTCTAAGAAAGAAAAAAAGGCACACCTGCTCATTTTATGTCTGATTATACAAGTTGTCTTTTAACTGTATTTTGATGATTTGTCTACTGGTTGAAGAATCAAGTATATTGTTAGGGTAGAGGTAATAACAGATAAAATAGAAAGTTTTGTATTTACTTAAGAGGTTTTAGAGGTTACACAAATTAAATCTGAGATTTTTGAGACACAGAAAAGTATTTTTAATCTTAATTTAAAATTCACTTTGCACTTGGACTAGTGAAAAAAAATAATCAATATATACACCAACAAATCTTTAGTAAAAATACTTCATTAAAAAAAACCTACTTTTGTATACAAATGACATGTAATGTTTACTAAATGTCTGCCAAATTTGGTGAAGATACACACACTGTATTAAAAGTTTTAGTATGAAAACTATAACAAGTACAAAGTGGTTACAAAGTCAGTCCATTCAAATGACCCTGTATTGAGAGAGTTAAGTAAGAAATGTCAGATTTAAACACTGCTACACAGGATCACAAGTGAGTTGGTTGATGGGAAAAAACTTGATGGAAAATACCAGTTGATGAATTCAGTAGGTGACGATCCAGTATCCTAATTTAAGTATGCACACTGTGATTGTCCATTAATTTGAATAAATATTGATTTCATTTTATATAATGCATTGTGTCCAGTCTGTTTATTTGTTTGCTTAAATCCAGTATTACTAAGTAATTTATATTGCCAATCCTCCTGTTATAAAGTGAACCAACCTAATACTCATTGCAGAAATCAGTTTAACTTGACAATAACACACCATCTATGATATATTTATAAGTTTGTTTCAGCTGATCATATGAAATTAATGGTTTAAAAAATGATATGTTTTACAATTTTTGAGTTCTCTTTTCGTGTACCATAAATTATTGCTTTTACTATAAATCCATTTTCTTCAATATTATGGCTATATTATGAACTTTATGTAAATATATTTCAATTGTAAAACTGTAGTATGCGAGTAGAAAAAAATAATCTATTTATATGTTTCTCAAAGGTTTTAGAATTTGGATGTAAAATTTATTCACTAGAACATCTTGTCATTTATTTCTCAGTCTACTTTCTATAGTCTCTGTCCTTGTGTGATTTCTTGTAAAACAACAGTATCTAATTATATTTTCTTGGTAATGTTTTGAGTAAATTCTCTTTTTCAAGCCTGTCAGTTAATGACAAGTTATTTTACATAATATATGTATATTATTATATATATATATATATATTTATATATATGATGACAGTTTCTAAATACAGGTGGCATGACTTTGTAACTTAAAATTTGATATGTTTAGCAGACAATAAACATTTTTCCCAAAAAGAGTTCGTAAATGATTTTTTAATACTGTAATTTCTCCATGTCATTTATGCCAAGATTTTTGCAACCATTTTATTTGTGCTACTACAAAAAGGCATGTTTATGCAAGTAAAGGCTGTTGATTTCAGTTGTCAGCTATACTGTAAAGTAACTTGCGTGTGTGTGTGTGTGTGTCTGTTTGTCCATGACAAATAGCCCCCCAGTGGCAGAGTGGTATGTATGCAGACTTACACTGCTAGAAAATTGGTTTCAATACCCTTTGTGTAGTTTTGTGCTTTAACTACAACCAAACAAACCATGACAAATATTTTTAATCGTTCCAAGCTCTGATCATCATGAAATTTTCAGGGGTTCTTGGGTATTCCCCTGAAGGATTGCAGAATCCCATATTATATTTATTTTCTATTTGAAGTTAATGATTTAAAGTTTTACATGAATATTTATGTAAAATTTAATTTTTAATGGGTTTCGTTTGAGAGGCTCCTTCCGAATATTGAGTAGTAGTAATAAAGTTGTTTTTTATATATCATGAAGAAATGCATAATTTTATCTGTTTGAAATCTTGATACAAATTACAAGATTTTTTGTCTATATCGACCATTCCTGATCTCTATATCTCTTTTGTTGTAATATATTAGAGAAAAAAAAATAAAAATAATTGTCAATATGTGATCAAGATCAGCACTATAAAACAATAATGAACTTAATAAAAATTCAAAACTCTATTTAAAAAAATAATAAAAGTTTTGCACTTTTCGGTCATTATCCAAAAGTCATAATGGAGATTGCCTGTGGTGATAGCACCCAAAAGTGTTGGGGATATCCC